GACAGAGGTGATGGGGAGCCGTCTAACACCCCCAGCCCCCAGCCACTCCTGGTGGGGCCACTGGAGACTGTCTTGCTTTGCTGTGTCTCCTGGCTGGACAGGGACAGAGAGAACTGGGTGTCTTTTGTATCTTGGTCCCCAGAACTCAGCCAGTCGGGCCTCATGAAGGCCGCACAGTGGGACATCCCTAGGGCTTGGGGAAGAGAGGGGTGTAGATTTTGCACACACACAAACACATAGAAGGATGTTTCCCTTGTCCCTCCACCCCCAACACACTGGAGATGATCTGTGGGAACCCTCTAAACTCTCCCCACAGTAAGACCTGCCGCATCAAACATTTAGCATGTAGCCCCATCACACTGCAGTGGGGGGACGATGACGTAAATCTGCCTGCCTTACCCCTAAGGAGCATGCAATCTAATTATCTTCTAGAGATCCTTTGGGAATCTGCTTAATAAATCAATGCCAATGATTTGTAATTAGAATATCAATTATTTGTATGCAAATGTGGCCTTCTGGGTGCTTGGGGACAAGTCCTAACGATTGAAAAGGCTCTCTCCCCCCGACCCTACCCCTCAAATTCTTAATTACATTATTTCCTTAATTCATCAAACATTTATTGAACCCCTTCTACATGCCAGGCACAGGGATGGGGACTAAGAACCCACGTCCAGGCTGGTTCTGAGCTGCTGGGTCTGCGTGAGGTTTAACAAATTCTGTATACAAGGTAGTCCTGAGACTATAGCGCCTGGTGACCCTGAATCGTCATTCATTCATTCATTCACCCACTCATTCATTCATTCATTTATTCATTCCTTCAGTCACTTCTCTATTGATTATTGTGCATTCAGTCTTTGCTAGGTGCTGGAGGGAAGGTGTTAAATCAGGAATGGACCACTCACAAAGCCTGCTTCCTGTTAGGGAGACAGACAACAGATAAGTAAACCAATAAGCAATTCCACATTGGCGAAAGTGCTGGCAAGGAAACTGTGGCTGCCGTGAAGGTGGGGTTGGAGTATGGCATGTGGGAAGCCCTCCAAACAGCATCCAGTCCGGTTTACAGCCACCCGTGGTCACCTTTTCACAGAACTCCCTTCTTGAGGTTCGTCTTCACCTGTGTAGATGTACCTCGTGTGCCCCCCCATCACCGAGAAGCGGGCTCCACACATCCCAGCACCTAGCACAGTGCCTGACACACAGCAGGGCGTTCAAGAAGTTGTCCAATGATGGTGATGGTGTAGGGGCACCCAAGGGGAGGTCACAGTAGGAGAGGGACCAGCGAGTGCAAAGGGCCTGTGGCAGGGCCACTAGGATTCTCCAGGGTGTCCCTCACTCCCTCACCACTGCCCCCACTTCTGAGAAAGTGTGCCCCTCCCCTGGCCCTTTTATCCACGTCCTCATCCTCCATCGCTAGTTTCTCACTTCTCCTGGGCAGGTATCTCGACTTCCTTGAGCCTCATTTCCTCATCTGTTGTCACCTCGTTGTCGTGAGAATGTACAAGTCACGCACGCGAGGCTCTCAGAAGAGTGCCTGGCTGGCACGGGCATGCGGTTCATGGTGGCTCAGCTGTTACCGGCCCATCCTCTGGTCTGCTTCCCAAGAACCTCTGTGAAAAATAAATTGGTAAACTCCATGTGGTGTCTTGGATTGGATCCTGGAACAGGAAAAGGACATTACTGGAAAAACTGGTGACATCCAAAACAGTCTGGAGTTTTGTTAAAAATAATGTACGAATGTAGCTACCACGGTCGTTTTAAAATGAAGTAAAATGATGACATTGGGGAACCTGTGTGAGGGGGTAATGGGAACTCTATACAATCTTTGCAACTTCTCTATACATCTCAGATTGTTGCAAAATGAAGAGTTTATTTAAAACCAATAACATTTGAAATTTTAATTTAAAAACAAACAAAACAATAGAAGAATTAGAAAAAAAAAAACCAATGCAGTTGGTCATGATATTCCTCTGTATAAAAACATTGGGATAGCCAAGGATAATATGCAGACTCTACGGCATAACAGAAGATTCTTCGTCACCTGGCCCTTGCTGGCTGCACTTCTCAGTTCCTCGGTCTCCTGTAAAGTGGGGATCAGTGATCGGTCTTGACAGTGAAAGGATTAAATAAGTTGACGTGCACTTGGGTGATATCTGGCCCATGGGTACACATTCAGTACGATAGAAGTAGAGGTCTGAGAGAGAAGATGGAAGATGCCATACTGCTGGCTTTGAAGATGGAGGAAGGGGCCAGGAGTCGAGGGATGTGGCCAACCTCTGGAAGCTGGGGAGGGCAAGGAGCCTATAGATAGAATGCAGACGGACTGTAGCCTCATAAGACCCAATGTTGGACTTCTAACCTCCAGAACTGTAAGATAATAAATGTGTGTTGTTTGAAGCCACAATTTTATGGCCATTTGTTACAGCACCATGGGAAACTGATACATATGCTAATACACTGCCTGATACAGAGCAAGAGTGAAAGAAACTTGAGAAACGATTATTACTTCTTGTCTTTCCCCAAACAGGCCTTGGCAGGCCATGTGCCCCAGGACCTTTGCATATGCTATTCCTCCACTTAGAGAACCCTTCGCTCTCCTTTTCTGTCTGGCAAGATCTTACTATTTGTCCAAGACTACTCACTAATACCTTCTGAGCTTGTATGCTTTCTTCCAGCTTCCCAGAGTAAAGTGTGTTGTCTCTTCATAGGTTTCTTCTCATCTATTTTAGTATTTATCTCAGATTGTAATTATTTTGGTGATTTTTTTCAACTCTGCTCACTAGACAGTGAGGTCCTTTGTCCTCAGGCTAAATCCATCTATGGCAGGAGGCTCACACAGATTCTGAGCAAATGCTGTTTGAATGAGTCAATGGATGAAAGAGAGAATGAGCAAGTGAGTGACTGAGGCCATGAAGGATGGCTAGGATTTGGACAGCCAGGGATGGTGGCATTTCCAAAGAAGGAAATGGGGTGAGATGATGACACCATTTCAACAAAGCCATCCATTTCCTCACTGCGGCTCAGCATTGTGCATCCTCGTTATCACAGGGTTTGAGGGACAGAGAGCAACGACACAGTTTGAACTACAGAGACATCAATGGAGGAGGTTGAAAATCAAATAAAACCATTTAAACATTTATTTATTTATTTATTTATTTATTTATTTATTTATTTATTGGGGAACAGCCATGGTCATTAGTTACACATTGCTTTCATGCTACAATGGCATAGTTGACTCTTTTTAAGGAGAGTGCAGCTCACAGTGGCCCATGTAGCAATCTTGGTGTTATCAGCACCACGCTGTGACTGTTTCTCAGATTTTCCTTGTTTTTTATGACCTTGGCAGTTGGAGGAGTCCTGCTCAGGTATTTTGTAGGATGTTCTTCAGTTTTTTAATTTTTTTTTTCTGATGTTTTTCTTATAATGAGGCTGGTACTCATTCAAACAGCATTTGCTCAGAATTATTTATATCAGTATACACTCATGGATATTTATTTTCTACTTTGGGTTATAATCCAATACTATGCTATGTACTGTTGTTGCTCGAATTGTTCCAACAAACCCTCACTGAAACAATTTAAAGATGTACTTCAGGCACAAGCAAAGTGATCCTAGCCGTAAGTCTGAGATGCAAGAAGGAAAGAAATTGGTAACTGTGTGTTTGAGTCTAAACTAATGTCAACTGTCTAAAAACAATTTAGTAATGACTCATGGGATGGAAAAAAATTAAACTTAAAATACATTACAATTAAAGCATATAATTGAGAGGATGGGTGATTAAAGTATCCCAAAGTCCTTATATTTTAAGGGAGCAAAGTAAGGATATTTTAAAAATTAGACTTTATAAATACTCATGTCAAAATTTTCAGGGTAATCATTAAAACAACAAAAATAGAATAAAGAGGAAGAAAAATGGAAGAGGAAAAAAAAATCAGCCCTAAAGAAGCAAGAAAGGAGTAGAAAAAACCCAAAACCAAGCATTACAAATAGCATGAAGTGAGATGGTAGAAATACATCCAGATATATCAGCAAATGTAATAAGTGTAAATGGACCAAATGACATAGTTAAAAGACAAAGATTATCTTAAAACAACCACATTTTTATTATGAATAATTTCAAGTATACAGAAAAATGGGAAGAATAGTACAAAGAACACCCATATGCCTGCCATGTAGGGTCAACATTAACTATTAGGAGATTAAGAATACATATTTTATGTAGTAAACATTATATAGTGAAATACAATTTAAATGGCAGTAATGATGTAGCATTTACTTTTGAGGCTAAGCAGATCTGGGCTCCCAGGAATTTTTAATCACATAACTTATTTGTGGGCTATTTATGCAAAGGCTGTATCTCCAGTAGGCTCTAGTGAGAGGGTAGGAACCAGGTTTACTTTTCTAATCACTGTATCTCTAAATATTTGTTCTGTTAGTAAAGGATTCAGCACAGTGCTTGTTACATAGCAAACATGTAATGTAGCCTAGCTTTTGTTTTAGTCCGTTGCTGCTGTTGTTGAAAGTGTTTAGCAGACTGGCACAAAATAAGCAAGCAATAATTGGTAGCTATTTATATTTATTGCTTACCATACATAACAGTGCCTAGCATACATCATTCACCCATAAACATGTTTATAAGGATAATAAATAGTACTTTCATTATTATTCAAAGTCTCTAAGTGCCTGGCACCACAAAAGCAAGGGAAAATGGAAGTTTATTTTTATTAATTATTCAATAAACTACTTAACATAACTGCTGGTCCCCATGGACCCTGAAAAAACAATCTATGGGGACTGTCATTTCTGGGCGTCCCGGACCTGCCCCTCCTCCGGACCCGCCCCTCCGCCGGACCTGCGCGACGCCCCGCCCCCTGCCGCCTGGCAGCCCCGCCCCCGAGGCGAGCGCCGCGCCTGCGTACTGCTGCTCCGGGAGCGGTTCCTGGCGCATAGCTTCCCGCCGCCAGATTGCGCGCAGGGTCGAGCCATCCAGCCTGCTGCGTGCGTGCGTGCGTACGTGCGTCGCTGCGTGCGTGCGTGCGTGCCGTGCGCTCGCCGGGCACCGCGGCCTCGCCCTCGCCCTCCGCCCCTGCGCCTGTACCGCGTAGGCCAACCCCCCCGCGCGCGCCCGCAACGACCCCCGCCCGCGCCCCGGCCGGCCCCCCCCTTCCAAATTTAAAGGGGGCGCAGCATTAACGCCTCCCGCCTCAGGTGACCTCCCAGGGGTCTCCCCGCCAGAGGTGCCCCGCTGCTGAAGAACATGGCGAAGGTGGAGCAGGTCCTGAGCCTCGAGCCGCAGCACGAGCTCAAATTCCGAGGTAAGCCGGAGGGCCGCCATCTTCGGCCGCGGGCCAGGCCCGGCCGCCCCGCGTCCCCGCCCGCGCTCAGGAGGGCCTGTCCGGCGCGGCGGTGACGTCGGCCCCCGCCGGTCCCGCGGCCCCCGCCCCCGCCCGACGGCGCTCCGGGCCCGCGCCCCCAGAACTGTGGAGGGCTGGCTGCCTGCCTGTCCGGGGCCAGGCGTCCGTGTGCGGGAGGCAGTGCCCGCTCTCCCTCCCCAGAGCCTCCCCGTGCGCGCCTCGCCCTCGAGCCACTCGGCACTGGTTCCGTTTTCGCTGTTACTGTCTAGTTTGTGGGATCCCGCTCTCGAGAGGAAGCAGTGGCGGCCGCCTTTGCCTGAAAGGTCCTTCTGCTTCTCTCTACGAGGTTGACCTCTTCCGGTCCGAGGGCAGATGTCACCTCCTCGGAGGGGCCTGCTCTGACCAGCCACCCCACGTGGCCACCTGCACATCCCTGTCCCGTGGTCGGCGAGGCACTTCCCACTACCTAAAAGGACCGTTTTGCCCCCGTGGGGGCTGTTTTCTGCACTAGAAGGGAAGCCCCATGAGGACAGGCTCTTGTCTCTCGCTGCTGGGTGGCCAGCACATGTTGGGAGCCTCAGAAATGTCTGTTGCACAAATGAATGAGACGAACGTCCGGAGGCATTCTGGCAGGACGTGGCCCCGTGTCCGTCTCCTGACGCCCCGCGGGCCGGTCGCTCATGTCCGTGCAGCGGCGGGAAGCCGCCAGGGCGCGGAGCTGCCTGGAGCTGAAGCCACGGGGAGCCTCGTGTGCCACGTGCATGCCGGGCACGCCAGGGCCCTGCCTCATGGGAACCTTTGTAGGTGTCACTGGACTTCCCCCGCCACCTTCAGCGAAGTGTAAGCGCCGCGGGCCCGTGGGGACGTCATCTGACGTCCCCGTTCCGTGTCCCGTGTATTGAGGAGCCGCGAGGCGGGCGTGAGCTGGCACTGGAGAGACAGCGGGTGAACGAGCCAGACAAGCCCCCCGCTGCCGCCGAGCTCCCTGTCTCATGGGGGGGGGGGCGAGGCCGCGCCCGGTATTCCAGGGAGCCGCAAGTGCCGTGGAAGACACCAGACAGACCGGCGTGCGCGTGCCCTTGGGGCTGGACGGCCAGGTCGCTGCGCTGTCGCCAGCGCTCGGCCCTTAGTGGGTGCGCAGTAGATGTCTGTGGCTGAGTGCTGGCCAGAGGCACGCTGGCCTTCCTGTACCGGCAGCGGGTAGTGCAGGGTCCCTTGCCTAAAGTTACCGGGTGGCGACTGGCGCATCGGAACCCAGACTTCAGAGCTCACGCTCTTAACAAGCACGCTCGCTGTCTGACCCCTGGGAAGTACTCCAGAGCTGGGGCCGCCACTTTGCCTCCCAGGCTAACGATTTGAAATGGCTCCAAATGTGTAAAGAACCAAAGGTTTTCCAATGAAAATGAAAATAAAAACAAACAAAAAAAACATCGTCCAAACCTAACAAGGACAGTGCTTGAGCCCACGTGATGCTCTCCCTGCCTTAGAGGCGAGAGGCTGGGAGAGGAACCGGCTGAAGTGAAGGGCGAGGGCCAGGGCGAGGTTTCCGCCCGAGCTGTCTGACATCCCTACCAGGGGGGAGCCTGGGGTGGCTACTCTTGGGAACTGGCACATTCGTTTATTTAGTCCACAGACGTCTTCTGAGGCCCAGTCCACGTGTCAGGTACCAGGAGAAGATGGGCCCTGTCACATGTATACCCCCGTTCTCCCTCAGCCCCCTGCCCCAGGACTTAAGTCTAGGGAAGGGCGCAGACAACAGAGCCAGTGAGGACAGCGCAATGACAAGGCAACCCAGAGTGCTGCGAGAGCAGCAAGGAGGTCAGCTCCGGAAAGAGGTGTCGTTTGCACTGAGTTTAAAGGTTGAATGGAAGCAGGCTTAACGAAATGGGTGGGGAGCATTGCAGGCAGAGGAATTGCATGTAAAGGCTGAGCTGACTGGGCTCCTTCAGGGAGCCACTAGTAGTTCTGAATGACGGGTAAAGAGCATTTGTTGGGGTCACAGGGCAAAGTAGGAGATAAGGCTGGCTAGCAGACAGGGGTCAGATCTTCTAAGGCCTTCTGTGCACAGATGCAGCCAGTGTCCAAGGTCATACTGTGTTGCTTCTCAGCTAGACCTTTTTTGATTGATTCCTTCAACCTCAACCCCGCAACCCCCAGTATTGACCTTGGGCTGGCCATTTCACTCCCCAAAGCTTAGGATCGACTGCCTGGTAATGGAGATGGCCCTCATATCTGCCTTCTCCCTGTAGAAAGTTTTATCTTTTAGAAGGAGTGATGTTATGGTTTTTCAGCTGCTTTGTAAAATGCACAATATTATACTGAGATTGGTAGTTGTATTTAGACAACTGGTTTCATCATTTCAGCTGTTTTCCTTGAAAGTTATGGCAGAAAACAGTGATCTTTCTGGCCCTGGGTTGGCCAAAGTAATGATAGCCAGTCACTGGATATTTTTGCTAGGGAAGTGGTCCAGGAGAAGTCGCGGTGTCAAATTGTTGAAGACTGTTGGCTCATGATTTCAGAAGAGACATTACAGACATGTGTAAACCACTTCATGAGATTTGTTTGTTGGTTTGTTTTAAACTGAGCGCTGAGACAATGAAATTAGAATAGAAGCTCAGCACCCTAGCTTGCTGTGTAGACATTCATTTCAGGATGAGAATGAGCATGTTTAACTGGTCTCTTCCAAGTGACTCAGGGTGATGACTGACTTCTGGTGGTTCACTTAGATGAATCAAACTTGTAAGCTAACTTTGCATAAGAAGGTATTAATTAAAATGCCTATCATCCAAAATAAAAATTAATCATTTTTAAGTGCAGCCTAAGATGATATGGGATTGTATATGTTGGGTTCTTTTACATTTTGGGCATTTTGTGCGATTATGTTGAAGTTAAGGATATTCCAGAAGAAAAAAGAACATAGACTTAATATGACCTCATTCAGTCTTCTAGAAAGTTCCATACTGAATTGTGTTAAGTATCAGAAGGAGAAAGACTGCTGGCCTCCTTAAAGAAGCGTGACACTATGACATTAGCCATGGTGAAATAGTAGAGCTTCTTTTGGACTTGGAGGACCTTTCTGAAAGAGTTAAGAGTTTTTATAAACATGTGAAATGTGTGCTTTGCATTGTCGCTCTTTCTGTTGATCTCACTTCTTCCAAGACCTAATCCTTTTCTTTCCATTTCCTCACTCTGAGGTCCTACTTGTTGCCCAGCCCCAAGAGAGCTTTCTGAATGAGTCACTTTCAGGGCATTTTGTAATAATCTCTTCTTTTTTTCCTCTCTTCTCCCTCCCCTTCCATCAGATTCCATCCGTAGTAAATAGTATGTCATCTATTTCTTAGTCATTGTCCAAGACTCTTAATCCTTCTTCACATCCTAACACATCTCTCCTCCCTTCCCACCCCCATGATAATGTCGCGTGAGAATGGTCTGTTAACCATCTTTATGAACTGATTAGTTAAGGTTTAAACCCACTGTGGACCCATTTACCTTTGCTTTATTCTGAGACCAAACCAGTGGCCTTCAAGACATCTCAGATAGTTGTGCTGTTGGTCTTTAGGGATATTAGGTGGAATAGCACCAATGGATTGGTGTGATCACCACTTTGGAGACAAAATAGGAGTGTGGACACTGTAGGTGGCAGATAGGTTGGAGATACTGTCTTTTGTATACAGAATTATTAGTTCACCCCCTTAAATTAATGTGTAATTCCATATTGTTTAGGAATCTAGAAAATATAAAATCCTGTAGATATAGTCCATTCAACGCAGTGATTATCTTTCAGAAGCTAAGTCCAGTGTTAATTCTTTAGCTTTAGTGTAGCACTGATTTCCTTAACATTTCATGATCATGTAGAGCAGACTGTTTTACAGCACAACAAAATGTCAGCAGTATGCGTAAGATTCTTTATGGTGGTGGTTTAAATCCATCCGGAATCGATTATCTTCATTTATTTAATTATTAACCAGCTTGTTCATCAACAGCAAGTGGCACTAAACTTACTAAACTTTAGTCAAACCTAAATCTTCATAGATTGTACTATTTACTTCTGAGTTTCTGTTCCTTTATTCACTATTTACTTCTTTTTCCACAGTTAACTCCTTAGGGGGAAAAAAAAAGGATAGCTCTTGGCAGTGTGCTTATGTTTGGAAAATGGTGACAGTTTCTCTGTGTGTGTGGTTGTAACATGCATCACAGTTATCTTCATAATTACCTGGGAGCTTTGCATCCAAGTGTGGATTTACTAAAATAATTAGTCCGAATTGATGCTATTAAAGAGATGAACTCTTAAACATTATTAACACTATCTTTTATTTATTAAAATTATATAGCATATTTTCCTTCCAATGCTGAAGGCAAAATACTGAAAACTTTGACTACAATATTACCACTAAGTAGTTGAAAATTAGGGGAGGAGTCGAGGGAGTAAGCTATTTGGTTATCACTCAAATGCTACCCTTAGGCTCAAGTTTTAGGCCCTGAAACTTGAATTTTACATAAGGAATTATCTCCAAGATTGCCACATACATATCCCCCATTTGTACTTGAAAAATTTGCCATTTAAAGGATGACCATGATTTGGAAAAATGAGCACAGCTTTCAGCAAGATAAGAAAGGCGAACACAAAAAGTGCAGCGTTCCATTAGTCCAGACAAGGTTGCCATTGATTGTGTTTAATAAAATAAAAGCCTTCTGCACAGTTATTTTGAACCGGGGATTGTGTTAAAAACAAAGTTGCATTATGATTTCCAGGCCTGCTTCCTCGTTTTCTATCATTTTAGCCCCTTTCAGGCTGCCATCAGCATAGCATAGCCAGAGTTGCTTGGCCTTGGCTGAGTCAGTATAGGCCTTCTTTGAAGTTTTCGCTTAATAGAACTTGGCCGTTGGCTTTAATAAAAACAAGAGTTATTTAAAGAGCTTTGTTATGGAAACAGAGTTACTGCACTTGACAATCATTTTAA